AAATGGAGACTATACAGTTCAAGTAAATTCATGAAGGGCTCTGTGGTGTCCCACAATGGAATGAGAACTGGAGGAGATAGGAAGGGAAAGGACATTGCAGACTACTGAGGCATTTCTTCTGAAAGTTACAGAGTTGCAGAGGACAAATATGATCAGAATCCCATTCTAGAACAACCACTCCAAAAGCAGAGAGCACAGATATGTGAGTTACTCTTCTCATTGCTGTGACAGAATGCCCAACCTTCACAACTTTAAGGAGGAAGGATTTACTTTGGCTCATGGTTTTGGAGGGTTCAGCTCATGGCTGCCTGACTCCACATGCTTGTGTGAAGCATCCTGTAGCAGGAACATGGACAGAGGCTGTCCTTCACTTCTTGGTGAGCAGGAAGCAGAGAGAGAAGGTAGTACAGGGAAGGGCTAGGGCAAGGTATTATACCTAAGATAAGCTATCACCCCAAGGACACACCCCTAGAAACTTGCTAGCACTAACCAGACCTCAGCTCCTCCCTTTTACCACCTCCCAATAAGGCTATCATATTATGAACCTGTTCATTACACCAGAGTCTGGCTGATCACATGATGCTGAGATGCCCTCAGGGACACACCCAGAAGGGTGTTTCACTAGGTTTGGCTTCTCTCTATCCAGTGACGTTTACAGTGAAGTTTAACTATATAGTGGAGCAAAGAAGAGACAGCAGGATGCTGACAGCACTGCACAGATGAGAGTCAGTTCCACTTCTAACCAGGAGGGGGCGCAAAGGTCACATGACAACTTCTTTCTTACACATTCCCCGCCCCCCAAGAAACTGATAATAAGCAATATTTTTCAAGCTACTAATTATACATGCATGGTACTGACAGACTCCGTGATCACCAGGACCTAAAAAACAGAAGTGCTGACAAGCATCCTGGGTAAGTAACTAGCTTGTTTTCACCTTAGGGGAATCCAGAGTTTAGTAGGGAAACTGTGTACTAGTACAGCCTGCCAGACTGAGAAAAAAGTGATTTCATTTAATACTAAAACACTTAGCATTTGATATTTGGAATATTTTGAGCCATTTCTTTTTCCAGGAACTGCATTTTAATGTGATTCTACGCTTAAAGCAGTGAACCTCCAATGGAAAATTATATCAGAGATACAAGCTAGGTATGTCTCAGAGGCCAGGAGGATGGTTTCTGAGGGGAATTGTTGGATACTGATTTATCTGTGGGCTCAACTTCATGACATTGCCAAAATCTGACTTTTCTTTTGGTCTTTTTGAGACAGGGTCTCCATGTAGCCCCAGCTGGCCTGGAACTCCTTATGTAGACCAGGCTGGTCTCAAACTTACAGAGATTCATTTGCCTGCCTCTGCCTCCCAAGTGCTCTGACTTCAAACCCATAAAACTGGCATATTTGGTATGCCTTCCCTTCATGCACTCACTGGTAGGCTAGTCTCTGTACCATCCACCATAAAGCTATTTTACAAACTAAAACAGTGCTGCTAGCCACAGCTCTAAAGGCAGCACTAGATGGCAGTGGCAGCTCTACACACACAGTCATATCAGTTTGACTTTTACTGGATTTAGGTTGCAGTGAATCAAACTCTTAAAAAAAAAAAAAAGTCAAAGCATCAAAAATCAAAGTAAAACAGTAGTGTTATCTGGCTTTGGAAATGTAAGCCAAAAAGTAATTAAACTATCAACTCACCTAATTTTAAATTATGAGAACACAAACATAGCTAGCAACTTTATAAAACTGTGATATTTCCTATGAGGTCTTTTTTCTGCTGTGAATCTTAATCATATGAATGTGTTTAGATGTTAATGAATTTGAAGAAAAAATCCATAACATTTTAAATTGCTTTTTCTATCAATATGATAAAACTTCATAAAAGAATTCACTTTATGCAGTTTATTGTGGATTTTTTTAATGAGTAAATTTTCTACTTATTTAGAGGCCATCAATGTGAAAGTACAGCTTGCTGTTAACATGCTGTGATCAAGATATTAAAAAAGAAATTAATAAGAGATGGGGGTGGTGGTGCTCTCCTGAATTCCTGGGACTTTCAGGTGGATGTGGGAGGATCAGGAATGCAAGGCCATCTTCAGCCTATATCACAGAGAATTTGAGACTAGTCAGGGCTACCTGAGACCCTGTTTCAAAGAATAAAAACAACAACAACAAAATACCCTCATTAAATTTTTCCAGGAAAAAAAATGGGAAATGATAGAAATTAATAGTTTTACTTAAAATAAGTTTTAAGAGTTTTTTCTTGTGCGGGGTATGGTGGCACACTCCTTTACTCCCAGCACCCGGGAGGCAGAGGCAGGTGTATCTCTGTGAGTTCAAGGCTAGCCTGGTCTACTTAGTGAGTTCCAGGCCAGCTGGAGCTACAGGGAGACCCTGTCTCAAAAAGATAAAAATATCTTTTCATATCTAAGAGAAAAATCTTATTTAAAAAGTTGGTTTGACACAGTGATACAGTGATAGTTTTGATGAGTTTTCTGTAATATTTTTTCCAGTTTTACTGAGGTATAACAGACAAAAGCTGTATATATTGATGAAGCTCAATGTGATAGTTTGATAAATGTGCACATTATGTTAATGATTAACATAATTAAACTAATCAATATATTGATCCCCTTACAGTTACTTTATAAATCTGAATTGGAATTTCAGCATGATTTCATAAACTTACATGTGAACACACCAAAACTTTATGTTTTCTCATTTATTTCTAAATGGTCCATGTTTAGATTCATTTACAATACCAGATAGCATTCAGTTGAGGTCTCAGTAACACTAGAATAAAATTGATTAACTTCTTAATTTTTAAAAAATACTTCTAACACTTTGTCTGAGGTTGATTTTGTACTGACAGAAAAAATTCAACTTATACAACATAGCTGGGCAGAGGGCTGGAGAGGTAGCTCAGTGGTTAAGAGCACTTGCATAGTTCTCACATAGGACCCAGGTTCAATTTCCAACACCCACATAGCAGCTAACAACCATCTGTAACTCCAGTTCCAGGGGATCTGATGCCCTCTTCTGACTTCCATGGGCATTGCATGACATGGGTGCACTTACAATAATACATCCATACACACAAATTAAAATACAATAATAAATAAAATATTTTTTAAAAACATAGCTAGGGGATGGAAAGATGGTTCAGTGGTTAAAAGCATGTACTGCAGAGGGCCAGAGTTCAGTTCCCAACACCCATGCCAGGTGGCTCACAACTGCCTGTAACTCCAGCTCCAGAATCCAACACCCTCTTCTGAACTACATAGGCACTGCATTCAGAGACATACCTACACACACACACACACACACACACACACTATTTTAAAATAATAATACAAATAAATCTTTAAAAAAAAACACACACACACACACAGCTAAGAACTCTCAAGCATACAAAAGCCAGCAACACAAGACTTTGTCATCCGAAGAATCCTGAAGTCAGCAAGTCTCTTCACCAAGGCAGAAGAACCAGGCCCTGGATCTCTGATTACAGGATCATCAAACAAGGAAAGCAGCAGCTAGTCAACAGTCCTGTACCAGAGTAAGACTGAGCCAGTGAGAGATCTAGACAGTGGGAGGCAGATTTCAGGGACAAACATCCTGACACCCTCCAGCCCTGCTCAGAAGCTGGGAGGGATACCAACTCACCTCACAATAGCTCCACTGTTTGTGGACAGGACAGTTTCAGGCTCTCTGTGTCTCTCAAGACCATCACACCCTCCTTGTTCTTGTTCAGCATTCGCCAAGGTACCATCTGATAGCCAGTCCACCTTTAACACTGACCATTATGGTCCCTGGGAAAGTATCTCCTCATTGTAAATTAGCTCCAACATTTCAGTCAGTGAGTCCAATGGCTTAAAGTCAGTCTCCAAAGTCTAACTTTGGAGCTCAGGACACACTGGCAAAGCAAGTGGTGAAGTTGTGGTTCATTTCCTGAACCACAAAGTTTCACCACAAGCCAAGCTAACTGTCTCCTGCTTGAGGTCTTTTTCCTCTCACTTCTTTGGGTCACACATCAGCTTGCAGACAGGGTTCTCTAAAACCCTAATCTACTCCCCAAACTCAACACAGACCTACTGGTACCTGCTGAGTTATCCTTTCCCCCTCCCACTCATTGGTGTCTAAACTCATTTTCCCAAGCACAGACAGCACTAAGGAGCACACATTCCTGTCAGATACCACAGAAGAAAATGGGCCAGTGGGACAGATCTCTCTAGCTGGTGAGCACAAGGTTCAAGCTCCATTTCTTTGGGTCAGCCCCTGAGTGCTGAGGCCTTGACAGCGTGCCATAATGCTCTGTAATTATGCTAAGTTGTTTCCATATAGTCCCATAAGTATTAACATTTTAAAATATCAAAAACTAAAAAAAAAAAAATCAAAAAATGCTAGGGCAGAATGTTCTTTAGACAGTGACAATCACTAGCAGCAAAGGCAGTTCTGAAAATCTTCCAACTCACATTTGGTCTCTTCTTAAGTTTCAAGACACCCCAGGAAGACATATTACAAAATGTGACCAAAAAACAGGAAAATGAAAGCTCACATGACCAGCCTCCTTGTGTCATGTGTGGAATTGAATGTCTTTCTACAACTTACACCTTACAGTGTGTGTTTTGGTGACTCTACCTCTGTAGCAAACGAGATGAAAAGCATTATCTAGCATTTCTTAGGATTGGCTTAAGAAAACAGAAGTGACATTTCCCTAGAACAAGCTTAAAACATGTTAGACTCATAGACATCTATTCCAGATTGGCTCAGCAGGGGCTGCAAAGATCTCTTCAGGTTTTGTCCTGGAAGGCTGGGGCTAAGCAGGAGTGTGCAGGCCTCCCCTGAACTGCTCTACTTTGTTACCCACAGATGTTACTTAATTGTCACTGTGTACCACAGGGTCAGCACTGCTGGACAACCATCACTATGGACCACAGGGAGAGCACTGCTGGACAACAGGCGTGTGCAACAGGTGCTGCCTGAAGTAATCTACACTTCTACTTACCTCCACGGCAACCACAATCAAAACAAGGTCTGTTTTGGACTCTGGAAAGACTGCATTCACTTGGGGTGACATTCCAATCAGAGCGCAGTTAGTGACCACAGATATGACACTCATCGTTTCAAAGGCCAACTGAAAGAAAAAAGATGAAGTTAAACATTGCAGTGGCCACATGCCAATTCTGTATTATCTGAAACCCAAGGGGAAGTCCTCTGCTGGGTTCTAAGCATACCATGCCCATTTTAAATTTCTGTCTGTCACAATATGATTTTCCTTGCTTGAGAAAGCTGTGCTGTTGGAAGGAATTTTAGTCTTTGGCTTGACCACCTCCACTCAGCATGTTCAATCTTCCCTGCAGGCACCCAGGACCCCGAATCGGGAACACCTCAAGGAATGTTTAGTCTCTCCTCATTCCTGAATAGAATCTAAGGACCATCAGAGAAAATGCTTCACACTCAAAGACAGGCAGTGTTTCAAACAAGTTACTTCACAAAACTTCCCTTCAACTTTGTTTTTGTTGTTTTATTTGCTTAGCTTTGTTTTGAGAAAGGGTCCCCCCTGTGACCCCAGGTGGCCTGGAACCCACTATGTAGACCAAGCTGGCCTGGATCTCACAGAGATCTGCCTGCCTCTGCCACATGAATGTTGGGATTAAAGGCATGCATCACCAGGCCAGGCTTGCCCTTCAACTTTGATAAGTCATATACCCCCACCTGGCTCAGCTATGACCAAGCTCAGGTTATACATCATGGACCCTTCCTTGGGATACATACTGAAACTCCTACAGAAAGCAAACCATAAAAGCCTGGCCCCACTGGGACCTACAGACACTGACTGGGATTCCATGGAGGCCCAGTGTGTCCTGTAGTGTTCCTGGATAACTGGTGAGCTCTGGGTTCTCTCTCTTATATTTTTATGTAAAAGCTCATCATGGTCACCACCTGATAACTTAAGCTATTCATTTTAATAAACATAAGGATTCTGTTCCCATTACATCTTCCAATGGTTATTTATATGTAAAATAGTTATGCCTATAGATTACTATTTTTATTTAAAAGTATTTTATTAGCATTGATTTTTTTTAAGAGGTAACATGATTATATTGAAAGACTTTGTATAGGTGGAGAATATGGACAGAAAGTGAGTGGCAAACTCACATTATAGGAATAGTGACAAATTTCACATTATTGTTGAAGCTTCGTAGTATAGTCTTGTCAGTAAATAATATTTAAAAATTACAGTAGACATACAGAATTTTGAATTTATATTCTAAGATACAATTACATTTTTAGTTTTGAGAATTATATCAGCTATTACAGTACTTTCTATTTTTTAATGAAAACAAAATGTTTATTTATACAGAGAGAGCAAAATATTCAGACAAAACTTCTCACACCATGATTTTTCTCTCTAGAAGTTCAATTAGGGCACAGGTGAAGACATACTAGGGCTGTAGAAGAGCAATAGAAAAATAATGGAAAACCTCTTGGTGCCTGGTCAATGGGAGATATCCAACTTCAATGTCGGGTACCCAGGACCACAGCTGGGCCTCAAGGGAGGTAGGAGGCCCATTCCAGAGAATCAGTCCTCCCAAGACCAGAATTTGCAAATAACAGAGGCCTCCCCTCTGCCATGCACAACCTGGAACCTCAAGGGAAGGGGCTGTGGGGAATGTAGTCAGAGAAGACTAAATCTGCTGCCCAACATCAGGAAGTCCTCCATGCTCTACTCTGATCCACCATCCAGGATCATGGGAGGGGACCACAGCTCCAGCTCACAGAATAGGACCACATCTCCAGGTTTTCAGGAAGGAGCCACAGCTTCAGCACACAGGATGGGACCACAACCCTAGCTCACAGGAAAGGACCACAGTTCCAGGTTGACGGGAGGAGACCACAGCTCCAGGTTCATAGGAAGGAATCTTAGCTCCTGTTCACAGTTCGCTCACAGGACGGGACTATAGTTCCAGGTTCATTGGATGGGACCACAGCTCTGGCTCTCAGGAAGGGACCACAGCTTCAGCCCACATGAAGGAACCACAACTCTGGCTCATGGGAGGAGACCACAGGTAAAAGTTCACAGGACGGGGCTGCAGCTCCAGTTCATGGGAGAGGGGCCCCCACTTCAGGGTCCTTGGAGGGGAGTTCAGATACAGGTTCATGGAATGGGACCACAGCTTCAAGTTCATGGGAGGCAATGGCAGTCCCAAGCTCATGGGGCGGGGGGGGGGGCTCTGGTTCATGTGAGACAGGCACAGCTCCAGTTCATGAGAGGGGAACACAGCTCCTGGCTCACAGAAGACAACCCATAATTCTAGACTGATATGAAGAGATCACAGTTCCAGCTTCATGAGAGACAACCATCATTCCAAGGTCACAGGACCAGAACACAGCTCCAAGTTCACAGGAGGTGAACACAGTTCCAGGCTCATGGGAGGGGGTCACTATTTCAGTTACTCTGGTTCCTATAATTTTCCTGTCTCCATTACTCTGTCCATATGACTATGTTTAAGATAGAGAATTTTGACTTCTGTGCAGCAAATAAAGGCAACAGTTATGTGCTGGCTTGAATTTCTTGCTTGAGGGACACTGATATTGGAGAAAATCAGCTTTCACTCAAGGAGAAAGATGGATCTTGTATTTTGTTGTTGTTGTTGTTTTTAAGGTTCTGGTTGGCTTTTTTTTTTTTAATTTGGTAACTGAAGCCTTCACATCTTCCTCCCTGGCCAGGGGAAGCCAGTGATGAGACATCTTACTCTGCACCATGTTTTACTGAGAGCCACCACTACCACCATCTTGAGTTTTCGGTAATTTTCTTTCTTAATTGCCAAGTCCTTTCTTGCCTGTGCCCAGCTTGTCACCTGGATGATGATGATGGCCCAACAGACTATGCGTGCATGGCATAGTAGACACCTACAGGCCCAGTCCCTGGCAAGAGATGCACCAAGGGGTGTGGCACAGTGGGGTGGTAATAATCACCCCCCTGGTTGCTCCTGCCACCAGGTCCCTGTACTCTGAGATAGGTGGTGGGGTATGGGCATCGCATGTCCCCTGTAGATTAATTTTGTGAATTACTTTATCTTCTTATTCCTCGTGGCATTTTCCAGTTGATTCTCTGGATTTTCCTAACTACCTGATTTCAAAATCAGATTACTTCCAGGCACAGTTTTATTTCTACCCTTCTCGTTTATAGTTATAATCCTTTCTCTTGTCTGGTTAGGTTGGACAGTAATTCTAGAGCTACTGAACACTGAAAGTGATCTTACAAACCCTCTATCTATTGGTGTTACTTGAATTCTTTTTGCTTTTATGTCACTTAATATTTTAAGTAACAGTGATCTGTACTTTTTGACACTTCATGAATTTATATTTTCCCTTAGGTATCTGTAAATTCACACAGTGGTAAGAAACAAAAAGAGATCCTATGCATCATTTAAATTTTATTTATTTATTTTATTTTATGTGTATGAGTGTTTTGCCTGCATGCATTTAAGTATACCACCTAAGTGCAATGCCTGCAGAGGTCAGAAGAGGGCACTGAATCCCCTGGAACTGGAGTCACAGATGGTTGTTAGCTGCCATGTGGGTGCTAGGAACTGCACCTAGTTCACTGCAAGAGCAGCCGGTGCTCTTATCTGCTAAGTCATCTCTTCAGCCCCAATTCTATACATCTTTACATAGCTCCCCACATTAGCGACTAGTCACAGATAGAAACACTAGCACAGTCTGGTGATATTACTCATGTTTTCACAGTTTTACATGAGCACATTTGTGTGCACACAGCTTCACAGTTTTATCACCTGTGCGGCTTTGCATTATCAGCCACCACAGCAGATACCAACAGGTCAGTACCACAAAGAGTCCATTCTGCCTCTTGGATAACTTTACCTCTTTTCCCCTTTAACTCTCCAATCCTTCACAGCCACTTGGCTGCCTTCATTTCTAAAACTTTGTAATTTCAATAATGCGATGTAAATAAAATAAGATGTTACACAATCCCTCTTTTATTCTATATAACTGCCTAGATCTATATCCAAATAACCATACCTATTAATATTTTGTTCCCTTTCATAGCAAAGTAGTATTCCATGTTGTGTTTTCTAATGGCTGTTCAACCATTCAGTCCATGAAGGGCATCTGGTCTGATTTACTTGGCGTGATCTCAAATCAAGGTGCTGTAAGCACTTTTTGTACAGACGTTTGTATGAGACAACTTTTTGCTTCTCTACCTATCTAAAGGTATAATCATGGGTGTATTAGTTACTTTTCTGCTGCTATGATAAACACCATGACCACCCAACTTATAGAAGGAAGAGCTTATTGGACTTATACTTCCAGAGAATAGGAGTCCATCATGGTGGGGAGGCATAGAGGCAGAGGCAGCCAGAGCAGAAAGCTGAGCAATCACATCTTCAAGCAGGCACAGGAAGCAGACAGTGACAAACTGAAAGTAGGACAGGGCTCTATACTCTCCAAGTCTGCCTTCAGGGACATACTTCCTCTAGCAAGTCACACCTCCTCAAGGATCCATAACCCTCCTCAACCAGCACCACTACCTGACCCACTGTTCAATACTTGGAGATTATGAATATATTCTAATTCAAACTACTACAATGGGTTCATAAGGTAGTTACATGTTTAGTTTTACAAGAAGTGGCCAATCTTCTTCCAGAGAAGCTGCAGTACTTTTTATTCTTGCCAGCAATGTAAGAATGATCCAATAACTATCTTTGCCCGCTCTGGTGGTGTGACCACCACTCTGACAGGTGAGTAGTGGGGCCTTGAAGTAGTGGGTTACCTGTACAGCATCATCAGTGTCCTCTAGTCACTTGACAGGCATGCAGTGTAGCCATGCCTCACTGTGGCATATGTCACCCACACAGCATCACCACTGCATCCTCCAGCCACCTGACAGGCATGCAGTGCTGCAACACCTCACTGTGGCAGGTGTTATCCATGTAGCATCTCCATTGCATCCTCCAGCCACCTGAAAGGCATGCAGTGGTGCTTGCCCCACTGTGGAAAATTTGCCTTCCCTTCATGGTCGCTGATGTGTGGTATCTTTTCATTTGTTTGTATGTTGTCAGGACAAAATGTACTCTTCAAAAAAAATCCTATCCAAGTATTTTGTTCATTTCATAACTGAGTTACTTCTCATTATGACTGAGTTTGGAAAATTAGTTACCCATCCTAGACTAGGTCTTCATCAGATATGCTGTTTGCTAATATTCTCAGTCTGTTCATCCTCACCATGGGGCTTCCGCTGGACAAAGTGCAATGCCCTGATTTTTCTCTTTTATAAACTATGCTTTTGTTCTTACAATGAACTCCTTTTCTTGTTCAGATCCAGACTTTCTTCATCTTTTCCTGAAAGTTTTCTAGTTACACCTTCCATATTCAAGTACATCATCCATTTTGAGATAATTTCTGTGTGAAGTGGTTGATGAGGTCACGATGAAGTCTACTGACTGGGTATCCAATGGCCCAGCACCATGTTGAAAAGGCTATCCTTCCTCTACCAGTTACTCCATTTTCAAGTTGTGCACACTGGTGTGAGTCAGTCTCGAAGGCCTAGCTCACCTCCACTGACCTGTGTCTTCCCTCTGCCAACACCAAACGGTCTTGACCACTGCAGCCATACTGCAGTCGTGGCACAGCTGACCAGGTACTGTGGGGTGCTCTCATACCCACGTTTCCTCTGCCATGATTGTTGTAGATGTCCAAGTGCTTGTGCTGCCCACAGAAGCTGCCTATGTTTACAAACTCCATGTTGGGATTTTGACAGCTCCTGTGGTAAATCTATAGATCAATGTGGGGAGAGATGACATCATCCCTTGAGTGTTCTAATGCACGAACATGCTATGACTCCATTTCCTTTGGTCTTCCCTTAGGATTCTATAGTCATCAGCACACAGATCCTGAACACATTGCATCTTCCTGTTCCTTAAACCCATGATAAGTAGCAGTTGCTTTCATGCCTTTTCACATTTTATTGTTACATACAAATGTGACTGATTTCTGTACTGATCTTGCATCCTGAAGCCTTCCTCCTTACTGTTTCTGTAGATTCTCTGGAACTTTCTAGATTGACAGTCACACTATCTACAGATTAGACAGCTTTGCTTCTTCCTTTCAATCTGTATGTCTTTTGCTCCTTTAGCTTCTGTAATTTAACTGAATTTCTGGTGCAAATACTAGGAAAGGTAGAGAGATGTGAACATGTGTGCCTGATCATAGAAGGAAAGCGTTTGTTGTTTTTCACTCTGAGGTTTAATAGATGATCAAGTTTAAGTATTTCTATTGTCCTAAGAGTTAAAAAATGAATGAGTACTGGTTTTTGTCAAATGCTTTATCTATATTGATTGATATAATTTGTGATTTTCTTAATTAGATTATGTTGAAATACACTGACTTATACTGAAGCAGCTTATATTCCTGGACTAAATCCCATGGCATATAATTCTTTTAACACACTGCTGAATTCTATTTGCTAATAAATTTAAATTGGGGTTTGTGTTCATGAGGGATGCTGTTTGTTTCTTAACTCCCTTTATGTCTGGTTTGCTGTCATATTCTAGCTTCATAAGATAAACTGGGAAATCTTCCCTCTTCCTCTGCCTTCTAGAATTTTGTAAAATTGGTGTTGATTCTTTTTAAATGGTAGAATTTGTCAGTACAATTGTTTGAGTTCCACTTGACATCAGATGGGTGTGTTAGTAGTTGCTGGTTTTTGGAGGAAATGGTCCATCTCATCCTAGTTGTCAATTTTCTATTTGTAGAATGGTACATGGAGCTGCCCACTCTCCTTGGATGGCCACAGTCTGTGATGGTGCTGGCTTCTCAGGCTGCTCTGTCTTTTCTCCTTTATTTCCAGTCTTGCTAAGAGCCAGCTGTTTGGTTCCCTGACCTTACTGTTGTCTTCAGTCTCGCAGATTTGTTCCCTTCTCTTTGTTATTGCCTTTTTCTAGTGGTTCTGGGTTTATTTTGCTCTTGTTTTTTGGTTTCTTTACAAAGTGCTGGGCTTATCTGAGTTTCCTTTTCTAGCATTAGCATTTGGTGCTGTGAGTGCTCATTCAGGATTGCTTACCAGTCACGCCCCACAAACTTCCGTATTCTGTACATTTATTTTCTTTCAGTTTAATGTATTTTTAAAATTTTAACCTGAGATTTTTTTTTCTTGTGATAGTATGAATCATGTTGACTGGATTTCCAGTGTTTGGGGAGCTTGCTGTAATCCTATTATTAACTTTGTTTGATCTCAGTGTTGTCACAAATGTACTACTACAATTCTAATTATTTGATGTTTGTTTTATGTCCCAAGAGCTAACTGATCCGTTCTTTAGATATTGTCATGTGATGACATTATTGAGTTTTTCTAAATTATGGTGTTTTCCTATCTACTTGCTCTATCAATTTGGGGGAAAGAAGTATTTTCATCTCTAATTATAACTGTGGGTTTATCTAGTCCTCCATTTTCCTGTTCTAGGTTGTTTCTCACTTTAAAACTCTTTTTTGTTTTATTTTTTGAGAGGGGGGGGGTCTCCCTGTAGCCCCAGCTGGCCTAGAACTTATTATGTAGACCAGGCAGGCCTTGATCTCATAGAAATCCACCTGCCTCTGCTCCTGAATGCTAGGGGGAGTAAAGGGGTGTGCCATCACAACCAGCTTCTCATTTGTTTTGAAACTGTGTTGTTTGATGCATATACATTTCACTTTGGTACTTTTGTCTAAAAATGTGACCACTTTTTCATCATGGAATGTTCATTCCTGGAAACTTTTGCTCAGAAGTCTATATTCAAACAGTACTCCTGCTTGCTCTTTCCTTCATTCCTTGTCTCCCTCCTTCCTTTTTCAGAAATGTTTCTATATATATCTTTATCTTTTCTTTCATGTGCAACCTGTCTATATCATTATGTGAATTGTTTCCTTATTAAAAAGTATATACTTGGGTCACACTTTACCTGCCAAATATCAGTCTTTAATTTGAATTTTCAAACCCTTTATAGTCAATGTAATTATTGTTATGTTAAGTCAGATACCTGTTTTCTATTTGTCTGTTTTCTTTATTTCTGCTTGCTTTTTCTTATGTGCTTTACTTCAGCATTTTAAAAGAATTCTATGTTGACTTACCTATAATGCTTTTTAGTTTATTTCCTATGTAATTTTCAGTAGTTTCTCCAGGTATTACATTTTTTTCTCTCTCTCAGAGACTGTGTTTTCTCCACCCCCGCCCCACATGCCTCTTAGTTTCTATGCATTTTTCTCTAGTTAGTTACCTGCCATACACCAATACTGGCGGAAGGTTCTGCAAACGGGCGTTTGAAGACCCTGCACATTTTCAAGGCATCTGAGTTGACTTCAGTAAAGTTATTTAACACAGCAAAGGCAGCTGCTAATGGGTAAACACATGAGAAAAGGCTCACATAACCAAACTGTAGGAATAGCTCCAAATAGTCGTCAAAGGTGCCCTGCAATGGAGACAGTGAGTGTTAAGTGTCTAGTAGGAATAACCAACAGTGCTATGCAAAACTGTCTTTTTCCACTAAGGAAACTCAGGGTTTACTTCAAATCTTTCTTCTCAACCACAAATTCATATAAATTTACAGGTTATTTTACACTAAGTTGCTGAAATAAGAAATTAAAAATGATTTAGCAGCTCATTTCTTCGTGGCAAGTCATCAAACTATTTTTTTTTCTAAAACAAATGACAGCAAATCAAAGCATGACTGCTCTTAACCAACTAAAAATAAATAGTACTGTTAGAGATGGTACCCTCACACCAATGCACACCAGAATTAGTCTTTCATTGAAAAAACTGAGTGGGCTGGCAAGATGGCTCAGCAAGTAAAGGCATTTAATGACAAGGCTGACAACCTGAGCTTGATCCCCAAGATCCACATGATGGAAGGAGAGAAAGGAGTCTCACAAGTGGTCCTTCAAATTCAGCAAGTGCAAATCCACTCACACGCACATAAAATAAATTCAACAAAGAAAATAAGTTGAGTTCCTGTTACTTTTCTGTTGCTATGATAGATAACCATGACCAAAAACCACTTGGAAAAGGCTCATCTCATCTTATAAGTTACAGACCATCATCAAGGGAAGCCAAAGCAGGAACTTAAAGCAGAGACTACAGAGGAATGCTGCTTACTGGCTTACTTCCAGGTTCATGCTCAGCTACCTTTCTTATACAGCCCAGGCCCACCTGCCTAGGGATGGCACCATGAACAGTGAGCTGGACCCTCCTGCCTTAATTAGCAATCACGAAAATGTCCCACAGACATGGCCACAGGCCAATCTGATGGAGAAAATTCCTCAACTGAGGTTCCTTCATTCCAGGTGTGTTGATGACAACCAAAGTCAGCCATCACAAGATGTCATTTAAAATATCCAACTGAGAAGGATGGTAGCAGTGAACAGCAGGGTCCTCCATGAAAGCAAGAGTGGTAGGATGGAGCAGTGTGTTCAGGAGCAGGGCCCTCCATGAAAGTAAGTGGTAGGATGGAGCAGTGAACAGAAGGGCCCTCCATGAAAGCATTAACAAGCACAACTATGAAGTTTTCATGATCAGTGTGGTTTTGTTGTTTCATTTTTATTTTCTTTCTTTAAAAAAAAAAAAATCCCTTGGGGCCTGGCGCAGTGGTGCACGCCTTTAATCCCAGCACTCAGGAGGCAGAGTCAGGCGGATCTCTGTGAGTTCAAGGCCAGCCTGGTCTACATAGGGAGTTCCAGAACAGCTGGGGCTACAATTTAGTTAAGAATAATTTTTAAAAAAAAAAGCTGGGTTGCATGGCATTTTAGTTTATTTTAGCCCCATTCCTTCCTCGGCTGGGCAGCAGCTTGAAGCACAGCAGTACACATTAGGATGGGAGTTAGCAGAGTGGGGATGGAGATCCTGAAATCCTCATCACAGAGGGAAGTCACCATCTGACCCTGCTGGTAGTATGGAACATTCCACACAAAGGCTTTTCATTTGTTAACTTCTGGACTTGTCTCCCACTGCTAAATAAAGGCTTCTCCTTGGGTGTTTGTCCAGCATACCAACATCATGACTGCCTGGGAAAAACCGTGGGTGAATGTGGAAGCTCAAGGCAAAACTGAGGAGTCAGATGACCATGGGTGGCATGTTAACAGCACCATAAACCAGCTGAGGAAAAATCAGAGAGGCTCTGTGATCTCAAGCAGGAACTGAATGCTAAGACAGAAGTGTAAACTTCCTGACAGGCACTGACAGCATATCCCAACATAAAACAGACATAACACACACTTGAACACCGGCAGGACACACACGCTTCCCAAGTGGAACATTTTCCAAAATCGGTGATGACCATAAAACAAAGCTCAATACATTTCAAAGATTTAAAATCATACAAAGTAGCCTCTGTGGGATGAAATCAATAACAAGGAAAATTTTAGAAATCCACAAAAAATGTGTATGCAAAAATTATCAACATATTACAAAAACACCAATGATGAAGAGAAACAGCAGCACAGCACACACATGCTTAGCACCAGCAGAAGAAGGTCAGGGGCTGTGAATGCCGCTATCGAAAAGAAAACATCAAACCCTCAAAACTCATCGTAAAAACCCATGCTTGAAATCAAAGAGTAAGCTAAACCCACAGCAAAAAGAAGGAAATAAATAGCAAAACAGAAATAAATCAAGCAGAACAGAGACCAGGTAAAGAGAAGGTTAGGGAAGTGGGGGTGGGGGGGAGTCCTCAGAATGACTTCCATACATTAACTAATAAAAATTATTCTGGGGGTGGGGAAAGAAATAGAGATGTAGTTAGGTGGTAAAGGGCTTGTCTAGCATGTATAAGACCCCGGGTTCCATCTCCAGCACTGAAAAGAAGAGAAGATAAAAGAAGAAAAAAATAGAAGCAGAAAATGCTAAGTGTTGGTAAAGATGTGTCAAAACAGAACCCTCACATAGAGCTGAAAGGAATGTAAAAATGGCATGCCTGCCTTTAAAAACAGTCTGGTAACTCCTCAAAAAGTTAATTCTAACATATGACCCAACATGTGGTAAGTTATATTTATATAAAACATATGTTCATATAAAAACTCGAACCCGAATGTTCAGGGTCGCATGCGTCATAGTAGCCAAACTGCGGAAAGAAGCCAATGGGCCATCACTGATAAGTCAATAAATAAACAGTAACATGCCCATCCAATGAGCACTGTCCTGCCTCAAAATGGAACAAAATACCAGTTCATGCTACAGCCAAGAAGAACCTTTGACCATCACACTCAAGGAAAGAAGCAGAGACCGAAGCCACAGTGGCAAGGCTCACTGACAGGACACGCTGATGAGACATGAGCACACTGAAGAACCCACAGACACAGAAAGCAGATGAGCAGTGGCCAGAGCTGGAGAGAGAAGGGCTGCTGGGGTTACAGGATGATAAAATGTTCTGGAATTACAAGTGATGGCAGTTGGAAAACCTTTTGAATTTACTATAAAGCATTAAATTGCACACTCTTAAAAAGTAAATTTTTCTGGGCATGTGGCACAACAACTTTAATCCCAGCACTTGGGAGGCACAGACAGGCAGATCTCTGTGAGATCAAGGTCAGCCTGGTCTAAAAAGTGAGTTCCAGGCCAGCCATGGCTACAGGGAGACACTGTCTTAAAAAGACAAAAAAAAAATGAATTTGATATTATGTGAATGGTATCTTAGTTTTTCAAAGATAAACAACAACAAAACCCCCACAGATGGCATACTGGTCAGTTTTTACTGTCAACTTGACACAACCTAGAATGACCTGGGAAGAGAGTCTTCATGAGAAATTATCAAATCAGGTTGGTCTATGGGCACGTCTATGGGGAATTGTCTTGATTGTTAAGTGATATGAGAAGCCCCAGTCCATGTGGGTGGCACCATTCCCTAGGCAGGGGTCTTAGACTATGTAACAAAGGCGAAAGCTGGCTGCTGCAAGCACCCCAGCAAGCAAGCATCTCTTTGCTCTTGACTGGATAGGCTGTGACTATTTTGAGTTCCTGCCTTTGTGGAATGTGGATGTGATGTGATGTGACTCTTGAGTTCCTATCTCTGTGACTTGAGTTGTGAACCAAATAAACTCTTTCCTGCTAAGTTGCTTTTTGGTCAGGATATTTCATCACAGCAGCAGAAATGAAATTAGGACAGACGGTAACAGGAAACCTGCCCAGAGCCCCCTCAGAGAATCCAAACAAGAAAATGGGAACTCAGTGGAAGCCTGAGGAAGCCCCTGGAGACTGCCCCGAGTCTCTCTACACAAGTGCAAAGGCTCACTCCAAAGAAGAGAAAGTGGAAGACAGGTGTGGTTTAGGGGAGGGGTGAGCATTAAGAGGAGCTGTTCCATGATTTTTAATGTGGACAAAGGAGTCTTTACTAAGGTAGGACACTGGGAAGGGTGACAGGTCAGTCACCCAAGTAACGACATCTCCACAGGACCTATACTGTTGGTGGCATACACCAACACAACCAGCTTCAGGAATTTTTTTAAAGCAAGCCTCCAGTGAAGAATTAGCCTGAAGCCATACTGAAGAACACCGCTGCTGGTTGGGAGCCTAGCAGTGTTTTCTTTCTGAGTTGATGGGATTCTAGTTGGTAGCTTCTTAATGCTTTGGCCACCCTGTGTAATCTCGTTTGTGAACTTGGCCTGGTAAGTACACAGGCTCTTTTAGTCTAGCCTATCTCAGTATTCTCTTGGGAAGGAACTGAAGTTGGGGATGGGGATAGTCAGGTGGGCAGAGACCAACATAGGAAGAAATGGGAGTGAGATAGCCAGCCACTCATTCACCTGGCCATTTTGGTCAGCTCCATCCTAGCTGAAGACTCAGACCATAGTGCAGTGTGTCCAGAGAAGAAACCACACAAAGACCAAAATACGCACAATCTCACACGTTTTTGAAAGCCAGCTGTGTAAATATGTGGAAGTGGAACCTACAGTCCTTCATAAGTGGAAATTGAGACAGCTACTTACTGTGCCAAGCAATTTGCAAAGTCTTACAAAATTTTGAGTACCAACCAGTGGTTCCCCTCCTGGATCAGCATGAAGAAAGATGAGACCTGTCACTGCAGCATTGTTTAGGTTGTGGGACTGGAAAAAGGCTCTCTTGCTCTTAGCAGAAGAGACGGTGCAAGGATTGCTCAGTACTTAAGAACATGAAGCACACACCTGTAATCCTAGCATGTGGGATGCTGGGGCAAGGGGCCCATGAATTCACAGTCAGTTGGAATTACAGAGCAAGACCATGTCTCAGAAAAAAAGTTAATATGAGTTACACACTTCAACACGGAGAAAACTGTGCTGAGTTATAGAAGTTGTATGTAATGTATCATTTATGTGAAGTTTAATCATATTGGAGTACATCCCTTTCACTGATCTGTGTTTCAGTATTTGTGTAAGTCAATGGCAGTAGCAGCCTCATGGGTGGTGGGGAGCAGTTAATGAAATGCATGTTACTGCTTAGATTAGT